CACTAAATATCAGTGACTGTCAGTTACCTCTTTGAAAACTCAGAGCATGTAAGTTGGGTTGGATAGGGAGCAAGGAACAATTCTAGTTTTGTTTTAGAAGTTAAGCGGTTTTTTATTGATGCACCTGAAAATCTAAATCATAAAAAGGTTAGATAAAAATCTCTACACAAACACTTTTTTAACCCCTTCATTTGAGAACAGAGAGTTTATCCTTAAGGGTAAGTGAAAGTAATTATGTTGAATTATGAATCTATATTTTTCCTAGGTTTTCTATTATCTCTTGGAAGGCTTTCATTCAGTAAAGGTTATATTATGGTTAAATTTTTGTTCCATAGGAATAGCTATTTTTATACACTGAACTTCATTTAAAGATTTCCTTTATTAGCAGCCATAATAAACTAGACAGCCAAGAATCTTGATAAGTGAACCTTACCATTTTTGGTAAAACTTCTTTCTGTTGCACTTTTGACTGATAGTATGTTCCTGTTTAAGATATAGTCCATGTTAATTATAGGCTTGTTATCTTGAGGGAGCCTAGTGGTAGAATGGGTTGCACATTGGGCTGCTGGCATCAAGGTTAGCAGTTTGAAGCCGTCAGCGGCTACTCAGGAGAAAGATGAGGCTTTCTACTCCAGTAAAGATCCACAGTATCTTAAACCCACTGAGGCAGTTCTACTCTGCCTTACAGGCTCACTACAAGTCAGAGTTGACTCAAGGCAGCAAGTTTGTTATCTTGGTTACTGTAGTATATAACTCCAGTGAGCATCGTTCATTACACTACCCTGTGGGGAGTGTACCATCATCTCAGAAGTTGTTGTTCTGTTGTTGTTAGGTACCATAAAGGCAGTTGGGGTCCATAGCGACTCTGGGCACAACACAGTGAAACACTGCCCTGTCCTGTGCCATCCTCACAGTTATTCCTGTGCTTGAGCCCACTGATACAGCCACGTCAGTCCATCTCATTGAGGGCCTTCCTTTTGACGACGTCCGGTTTTCCTGGATTCATACTCTGGACAGTCCAAGTTCTGATTATTAGTAGAATTGTTGAATCTGATTCTTCTGATCTTGAGGTAAGCCTCATCAGCAAATGACAATCCGAAGGCTCCCCTCCCACAGGCTTGAATCCATTCACATCACCATGGTCGATTCTGCTGTGAGAGAGCAGCTTTCTCCGGGCACATTTCCAGTGCCTTCTGGCTCGAGACCCATCCTCCAGCATGATCTCCAACAGGAGCTGCTCCCACTCTTCCGGTCTCCCCTAGGAAACCCCTGGCAGTGTTTCTGGGCTATGCACAAGGCCAGGGATGACGTCCTATGGAGTGGGCAGTCGGTTCCTTCTTCGTAGGCTACTTTTGGTCTGGAGGCCCCGCTCAAAACTGACAGACAAGCGGTGGCAGAAGTTGCATTCTGTGTGAATGGGGCCTTCTTATTTGTACAACAAATGCGTTGCTGGTAGGCCAAAGATGCTTTTTCAAGTTCTCTTATGGCCCTCAAGCCTTGGCGGCATGGTGGTTCCTTGCTGGGCTACGATCCACAGAGTCCGCAATCAGAAACCACCAGCGCCCTCAGCGGTGGGAGAAAGATGGTGCTTTCTACTAGTGTCCAGGGTTACCGCCTGGGAAGCCCTCAGGGCCAGTTCTACCCTGTCCTATAGGGTGACAGTGAGTCTGCAGCTACCTGATGGCAGTGAATTTAAGTTTTGTGGGGAGGGGGACATTTTATGGCCCTCAAGAATTATGTGCTTGCAACCTGGGTTATGCCACTAATTTAATTAAAAATTAATTTCTATTTTATGATTAAAATATTGTAAGATAAACACATACGTGTGTGTGTACACGCTGCTGGTCTTGAAATTATTTGTATTCGTGGTATCATTACCATGATACCATGATACTATTCATGGTATCATTACCATGAATAGAAGATTACCCCAAGAAGAACCATGCAACTCTAAATTAAATAATTATATTAAATAATACATTATCTATTCTCTGCCACTACCAGTTACTGCTGAATTGATTCCAGCTTGAGTAGATTGCCTGTGGATCCGAGTGAAGCTGTGCTCCGTCAGGTTTTCAGTGGTGGATTTGTTTTTTAAGAAGTAGATCACCAGGCTTCTATGCCAAGGCCTCTCTTGGTTGACGTGAACTCCCAACCTTTGGTTAGTATTTCAGCACATTAACTGTTTATACCATTGGGGGCATCACTTTACTAAAAGCAGTATATATATATATATTTTCCCCCTCTACAATCATTAAGGATACCTTTTGTAGGTATGTTACTTCTCATTTGGATTCTCTCTCCTAAAAATACCGGATCATTTCTAATGCCTTCATATGCTATTAACAATCGATCCTAGTTCTGGGGGGGTGGGGGGGTGGAGAGCCTAAAATGCACAGCTTCCCCAGCTGTTACAGGTTGCTACTCATTGTGGTGTGAAGGTGACAGGGGGATCCTAGGACGCTGACCCAACTTTGAGACAACGAACACCAGAGACTTCGTTGAGCTTTCGTCCTGTCTCGGGCGCTGTACTACATTCATCTGAGAGCCTGTGATGTTCGGTACCAGTGTTAGTCACTGTTTGTTGACAGAGGCTCAGAGAGTTTAGGACATTTCCCAAGACAATACCAGCGACTAGTGAAGGAGCTAGGATTTTAATCTGGGTAGGCTGGCCCCTGGCTCTCGGTCTCGCCACTCCATCACCATGTGAGGTTGAAACACAGAACTGTCACGTTGTGGGTCAGACACAGTTGGCGATTAGGCATGATTCCACCTAAACTATTTCTAGATTCTATCCTACCTATCAATTTTGCAAGCTTATAACCCTCCATGTGCACTGCCCAAGAATGGAGAATAACCAAGAAATAAAGTAAATGGGGTAAAGCCAGTAGGAATGTATGTTTTTGGAAGGCAGACAGGAATAAGCATGCACAGAAAACCATCTGAAAACAGCATTGGCCATTGTACATGGAAGCACCTGTGATTTTCTTGTGGAGTATTCTGTGAGATATGGTAGCGTTAGACTCAGTGATCAGATCTCATCAGACTGTCTGATCTCTCACTAGTGTTTAGGGCTCTGATTACAGATTAGAGAAACCAACCCCATCCGGTGGGCGTTAAGCCAAATTTGCACCTAGCCCTCACGCTTGCTGTATTCCTTGCAAAGGTGAAGAAGGTACCCTACACACCATGTTCGTTTGACTGGTCTTTATGTAATGTATGAAATTAAGTCTACTTTTATTTTAATCTTAAAAATGAAGTATAAAAAATGAGGTTTTTAAAAAATATATAAAGGGCTGTACTTCTGTCAGATTTGGCTTTCCATACTATGATGTTCTTGATAGTATCTCTGTACATGACTTTTACCGAGAACATCTTTTTCCGTCGGTTTCTACGCTACCTCAAATCGTTCCCGTTGTCCCTTTGCTGAAACGTATCCTGGTTGGTCCATTCAATAAGTTTGTGTTAACAAGAGGGACGATTTAATGCCACCTGATTTAAGTTTCTCTTTTCCCTGGCTTTTAAAGATTGTCCTAGTCTATAGATAGGAATAAAAGCCTGGTGACACTTGGAGCAGGGGTTGGGCTGCTGGGAAAATAGCATTCAGGGCACCTCTGCCCTCCTGCAGCCCCACAAAGGAGGTGACCCCAACTCCACACCAGCTTAAGGTTGATTGTCCCAAGAGCGAGGCCAGGCATGCCTCTCAGCTCCATCTTTGACCCTATTGTGACACCAACTCTACCTTCCACAACCCTCAACTTCTCTGCTGGACTGGATGAATCATTTCAGTGGCCACCCAGCACTCAGAATCGTCAGGAGGGCCGGGCTTCGTAGGGACAACATGTCAAGGAGACCATTCTCTCATCCCCAACTCCTCTTCTCTGTCACTCTGGCAGGCGCGTCTCTCTTTGGTCTCTGAGCCTCTCAGCCACACAGTCCCTCAGCCTCGGCCTTATTCCAGGGACTGCAAGCCCTCTGCTCGGCCTCCTGGTCTCAGCTCGGCTCCTGCGCTGTGTCTCAGAATCTTTGGGCGGTTGCCTTGGCGCCTCTGCGGCCTCTCCCACTTCAGACAGGGATCTCACCTGTATTCTGGTGATGGCTCTTCCTCCCTGATGGACACGGGATTCTTCCTCTTCCTGCTTCAGAGGAGGTCCCCTCTGACACCCAGGGGCATGGCAGAACTGACCAACCCTCTCCATCCGTGGTTCACACACTCTTCGTTTCCTGCCCCAGCCCAGTCTTGGGATGGCACA